AGGAGCGCGAGGCGCAGCTCACGTACGCGCGACTGAGCGAACTGGAGTCCGCCTACGCACATGACGCTGGGGACGCCGCGGCGGGGCTGCGCGATGCGGAGCGGCGCAACACGGCGCTTCTGCAGCGCAACGCTGCCCTGCAGGAGGATGTGGAGACGGCGCAGCAGCAGCGCCAGGCCATGCAGGAGCGCTGTGAGGTGGCGGAGGAGGGACTCCGCCACGCGACAGAGAAGCACCGTAGCAACGAGCTGCAGCAGAAGCGCCAAATCCAACAGCTGTTGGAGCGCAGCGAGGCGGTGGCGAGGGAGCTGCAGCAGCTGCACGAGGCACATGCGGTGCTTAGCGCGGAGCGTGACGCGCTGCTGCGGGAGCAGCTGAACACCCGAAAAGAGACCGAGCGTATGAGCCACCACCTTGAGGACACCAACAGGCACAACGATCAGCTTCATAAGGAACTGCGGCGGCAGAAGGATTCCCACAACGTGGAGATGCAGGCGGTGCGCGAGACGCTTGTCGACGCGCAGTCTGAACTGACGAAGTGCCGCCGTGCGATCGTGGAGGCGGAGGGGCGGGAGCTGGAGATGCGCCACGCACTGTCCACCCTAGAGCAGGAAAAGGCGCTATGCGTGGAGGAACTCGAGAAGCTGTCAAAGCAGGCACTCGAGGAGCAGCAGTTTACGGCTCGTGAGCGCTCCGAGAAGCAGGAGAGGGCCGCGCAGCTGCAGTCCGAGATCGCACAGCTTCAAGACGCCGTGCACACTGCGCGGCAGGAGTGCAGGCTACTCGAGGTGAAATGCGCGCAGCACGCCGATGATACAGACCTGCTGCGACGACAGCTCGCCGACCTGACGGAGCGCCACCGCAGCTTGCAGCGAGAGGCCGCAGCTCAGCAGGAGCAGCAGGCGACAACGTTGAAGACGCTACGTAGCGAGAACGCTGCCCTTCAGGCGCAGTTGGGCGACGCAGTAGACGCCGAGCGGCAGAAGCAGCGAGAGTACGAGCGTCTCGAGGAGCGCATGTTGCGCAAAATCGAGACAGGCCGCCTCGCGGAGGAGGCGCTGCGGCAGGAGAACGCTGACCTGCAGCGTGGCTTGCAACAGTTGGAGCGCCAACTCGCGTCCGCCACACACACCATCCAGGGCATGGAGAGCAGCGCGTCACGGCAGCAGCTGGCGGTGCGTGCCCTCGCAGAGGAGGTGGAGCGCCACAAGGCGCAGGCCGCCACCGATCTCGAGGAGCGCGCGCAGATACGCAGCGCCCTGCAGGAGAAGACGCTGCAGCTCGAGCGCGTGACACGTGAGGCGGCCGCCGAAGCGGAGGCGGCGCTTTCCAAGGCTAACGAGTACCACCGCGCCAACCACGATGCTGTCGAGGCAGCAACGCGGCGCGAGC